GGACGACGGAGAATCTTCATAGACATCTCATGTAAGTAGTCCTTGACCTATGACAATAATTGGATGCGCAATTACTGCTGTAAGTTATGATATTTAAACAGGTTGCCCAATGAGTGTCTGATTTTACAGGTTTTTTTGTGGTGGTTTTTAAGTGAACATGGTGATTGTAAAGCAAACACTGTGATCATTAAGGGAACCTGTCGTTCGTTATGGGATGGTTTTTTGGCAAGAAACTGGAAGTGAATGCCAGTTGCCAACAAAAGCATTGTAAATCCCAGCTCTGCAAATGGGTATGAAATGTGCGTCATTTGCCAAGCGTTCAAATGTAGTCACGTGACTAACTGGGGCACGGCCATTGGAACTTCAAATCCAGGGCATAAGTAACTTTCTGGGAGTTTGTCATAACTTTGAACGGTTGCTAAAGCAGCCAGTCATAAGTCAAGGACTACCTGTATTTCAATTGCACCCATTTATGGTCATCTTGCATTTGGATTATTGCAAATTATAAGCATGCCACAATATACCCCTCTTACACTTCTGCTTCGTGGCTTGTATGGTTACCAATAAATTTCCAAGAGTAATTCAAGGTGGTTATCACATACAAGGCCAGTGGTGGGTTGCCCCCGGTTCGGACCCGGTTCGGCAAGAACCGCCCACTGCCCCGGATGTCATCATCGGCGATCTGCGCGTGCGCAAAAGCGATCCCGTTGCAAACCGATAGTAAAAGTAAGTAGAACCCACCCCTGTACAAGGCCCTTTATGGCATGGGGCCTAGTTTTTTGTTTTGTTTTGTTTTTTTAATTTGATTTATATGCCGCTCTTCTCCGGAGACTCAGGGCGGCTTACAATGCGTTAAGCAATAGCCTTCATACTTTTGTATATTTATACAAAGTCAGCTTATTGCCCCCACAAACTGGGTCCTCATTTCACCTACCTTAGAAAGGATGAAAGGCTGAGTCAACCTTGAGCCTTGGAGAGATTCGAACCATCAAGTAATTGCAGGCAGCTGTGTTAATAACAGGGTGCTTAGACCACTGTACTATCAAGGCTCTAGTTACCTCAGGGATCATCTATCTTTTGTAGTTTTGCTCAGCCTTTACAAACTGACAGAGTCACCTTGCTCCAGGCCCCATACATTAAATACAGTCATCTGATAGCACTCAAAGGGTGGACCTTCTCTTCCATAATCCCTGTCTCTTTGAATGATATTTCCTTACCATACCCCAAGCTTTGTATGGCTGCCCTGTTGCCCCACCTGGGAAGACTTTGGGGTTATGAGGGGTAATAGATTCCTTGTGGGATGTTTGTTAGAAGTTGTATCATTTCCCCAGACATCTGCTTTTTGTATTGTTTTTGTTGCATTGTTTGGAGTGGTTTATATCGGGGGTGTCAAACTCAAGATCCGTGGGCCGGATCCAGCCCGCGAGGTACTTAGATCTGGCCCACAGGGCTGCCCTGGAAACACCGAAGGACCGGCCTGCAGTGCCTCTGCCAGTGAAAAGGGAGCTCTGGAGGATTGCTCCATTTTTGCTGGCAAAAGGTTGCAGGAGGCCATCGCAGCCAAAAATGGAGCTCAGGAGCCCGTTTTCACTGGCAGAGCGCTCGGGCTGCCACAGATGACCCCAGCATGAGTGACATCGAGCTGGCTATGCCCCTCTGGTCCCCCCCGAAGTCAAACACAACTCTGATGTGGCCTTCAATGAAATCGAGTTTGACACCCCTGGTTTATATTGTCCAATGCTCAGAATTGTGATGGACTTGGCCAACCTATACATTTACTGAATACAGATAATCCTCGACTTGCAAAAGTTCATTTAGTGTCTGTTAGAATGGCACTGAAAAAAGTGACTTATGACCGTTTTTCATACTTACGACCATGGCAGCATCCTCATGGTCACATGATCAAAATTCAGATGCTTGGCAACTGCCTCATAGTTATGACTGTAGCGGTGTCCTGGGGTCATGTGATCACCTTTTGTAACCTTCTAACAAGCAAAGTCAATGGAGAAGCCAGATTCACTTAACAACCATGTTATAACAACTGCAGTATTCACTTAACAACTGTGGCAAGAAAGGTCATAAAATAGGACAAAACCTACTTAGCAAATGTTTCCCTTAGCAACAGAGATTTTGGGCTCAATTGTGGTCGTATGTCGAGGACTACCTGTACACAAACAAATTCCTATCATCCCCAAACTCTGGATGTATTAACCAAGGTTGGCAGGTTCTACAGTCCAAGCAATCTCTGAAAATCAATTACGGTCTTACTAGCAATGCTGTGAAATATATTAGGGTTGGGGACCTCACTGACTCCTACTGATAGAAGAAAGCATTTTAATCTCCGAAGCACCCGTCTCTCCAGAGAATATTCTGAAGGCACATGGGATGCTGCAACTGTTAACTGAATCCCCATGGAGGGATGAACAGCACAACAACATAAAATCTAACTACCGATTTGGAAAATCTACCTGCAATTGAAATGAATGTAATTATTATTCCACAGCCCACTGTGTTTTGGACTCAAATGGTCCTTCCAGCGGTGGGTTTCCAATATTCTTACCACCGGTTCCCCCCATGTGCGCACGCTCACTTCATGCGTGCACGTGCCTTCCACGCATGCGCTTTGCTCGCTCGCGCGTCTTCTGCACATGCGCCTAGCCTCGAAAACGTACCTAAATAGGACAGCATAGCGCCAGGGCAGGTGTCCAGGCCCACCCGTGATCTCCACCAGCAGTTCGCACGAACTGGCTGAATACCATCTCTGGGTCCTTCAGGGCATTGTGCATACAATACAGACTCAAGCATAGTGGCTTTTGAGTCCAAAAAGGTGAATTGAACACCACTATTTTTATATTTCATTGAAACAACAAAATTGAAATAAATAGATAAATAGATAAATAAATAGATAAATAAATAAATAAATAAATAGATAGATAGATAGATAGATAGATAGATAGATAGATAGATAGATAGATAGAAGAGAGGCTCTGTGGACATGGAAACAGGCATGATTTGGATTATGTTTTGTAAAATATTGCCTCTGTCAAAATATTGACAGGCTAAAGGTGTATAGCTATAAGATGAGAAGGCAAATTTTGCAGTTCATCCTAGGACACTTTAGGACATTCTAGTACAAATCCAAGTTCAGCTACAATATTCTGTGATGGCTTAGGCCTTTATATTTAGAAAAAGGAATGGGATATAAGCTGAATGACAAATAAGCCACTTTCTAGTGTACCCCAAACCCTTCAGCAGTCTAATTTTGGAGGAATTGCTTTTTAAAGTAATTTATTGTTATTATTGGGCAATTCAGACTCTAATAAGAATATTTGTTATCTAAATGTGGTCAGGGTGAATGACACCTATGTTCATTAATTCTCCCATTATATAAATTTTCAAAACATGATTTGTTCTGCTTTGTTCTTTTAAATAAACACCTATCCTAAAACTTGTTATTGTTGTCATGAGGATGCTGAACATATTTATGCGCAATTTGCATATTTAGTGTATTTTATTCAGTTAATAGTATAAAGGTTTTTTTCTTATTTTTGTAAATACAAATTTGCAATCTGTTCTACATTGTCATCTGTATAATTTGAATTATTATGCTTTCTTATAATAATAAACAAAGTCTAACATGTGTCATTTGGTGGATAAAAATAAAAGGCTCCTTTGAATCTCAGTCATTTCACAAATGCTATATCTTACAATTGATACTGTTTACTTAGTATCCTAGTATAATTTATGTTGATTGCTTATTTAGTATCCATGACTTTCACTAAGTGTTGTATCCAGTGGTGGGTTTCAAAATTTTTTACAACCGGTTCTGTGGGTGTGGCTTGGTGGCTGTGGCATGGCTTGGTGGGCGTGGCTTGGTGGGCATGGCAGGGAAAGGATACTGTAAAGTCTCCATTCCCTCCCCACTCCAGGGGAAGATTACTGCAAAACCTCCATTTCCTCCCGATCAGCTGGGACTCAGGAGGCAGAGAATAGATGGGGGCGGGGCCAGTCAGAGGTGGTATTTACCGGTTCTCTGAACTACTCAAAATGTCCGCTACCGGTTGTCTAGAACTGGTCAGAACCTGCTGAAACCCGCCTCTGGTTGTATCTAATCTTTTATGATAAATGTATTTTACAATGATTAGGATCAGAAATGGTATTCAGCCGGTTCGGGCAAACTGGTAGCGGCGACTGAGGGTGGCCTGCCCACCTGCCCGGAAGTAATGCCATCCTTTTTAGGTATGTTTCAAGGCCGGCCGTATGCACAGAAGGGGCTGGCATGAGCAAGCGCATATGCAGAAGGCTGGGCGCAGAAGGCGCGCACATGAAGTGAGTGTGCACGCGCATAGCAAAGCGGTGGTAAGTATATGTGAAACCCACTGCTGATTATGATAATGATCTATCACTATTGTTGTATTTTATACTGAGAGCTTATGCACCAGAGACAAATTCCTTGTGTGTCTAATCACACTTAGCCAATAAAGAATTCTATTCTATATGCTCACAGTTTTCTGGACAAAAATAATAGATGAATTTGCTATACTATCATGAGGGATGTCTTTTCAATTTCCTACTCTTTCCCTATACCTGGAATTTTCTGCTTGTCTCTCACTGATATACTAGCCAATAAGAATTCTACTTAGGTTCCAAATTCAGACAATCCACGTAACTTTACATTAACATCTCAAAACGACACCAGTTTTTATGGATCTTTCTAATGAAGAATGGAGGATAGCCATGAGTTTTGTAGCAAAGTCTGCTTAAGTGGGTTATGGATTTTCATTTAATCAAAACCATTGATAATATACTGTCGACTACATAGAGCAGAGGTCTTCAAACTTGGCAGCTTTAAGACTTGTGGACTTCAACTCCCAGAATGCTATGCTGGCTGGAGAATTCTGGGAGCTGAAGTCCACATGACTTAAAGTTACCAAGGTTGAGAGCTCTATCATTATTTCCCAATTTTCCTTCTATCGATTTGTCATAAAATGTTCACTCACCCCTGACCATCCAAATGGCAGGAACTGCCCCTCAGACCAGTATTCTCCATTCACATAGGTAAATCCTGCAATCATGATGAAGATCCACACAGCCAAATTGATCACATTCAACACATTGTTCAGTCCTACTGAGTTTTTCACTCCCAAAGCAACGATGATAGTTACAATCACTGCAATAACCAAAGCTAGTAGATCAGGGTAGGACTCTTCCCCTTTACCTGTGAAGAGAAAAATGATGAGCAATTCCAAAAATCTAGACAGAATCAATATAATGGCAGAAAAAATAATTTCTCAGAAGATTTCTCTATAAGCATTTACTCCCATGGTAGGCTATGCTCATCCATAGTTAACAGGACAGCTACATGACAATGATATCACATGGTTATCCTCATAGCTTCTCTGTGTTTTTTCCCCATCTTTCCATGGGACCTTTAGAAAACTTAGAATATAGAAAAACAGAGTTGGAAGGGACCTTCCATTCAGACAAATGGTTGTCTAATCTCTTCTTAAAAATTTCCAGTGTTGGAGCATTCACAACTTCTGGAGGCAAGTTGTTCCACTGATTAATTGTTCTAACTGTCAGGAAATTTCTCCTTAGTTCTAAGTTGCTTCTCTCCTTGATTAGTTTCCACCCATTGCTTCTTATCCTACCCTTAGGTGCTTTGGAGAATAGCTTGACTCCTCTTCTTTGTGGCAGCCCCTGAGATATTGGAACACTGCGATCATGTCTCCCCTAGTCCTTCTGTTCATTAAACTTTTTTTTAAAATAACAACAACAAAAACACGTGTCCAAACTCCAACTGTCATTTAATAATTTTATTTTTCCAGAGGAAAGGACAAAGTGATGCCCTTCCCATGCCATGCGCAGAAGTGGGCCAGAGTAGAAGTTGAATCTTTCTCCAACACTGGTAATAGGGCAACATTCTTTCTGTTATTGAAAAAGTCAAAAGATTCTGTTGAGAGGTACAGATACACCATGTGTAGTGTATACTTTCTGAATCCCAAACCTTGCCATCTGAAGCATCTGTCTCATGCTGCCCAGTAGTAGGTAAAGGTAAAGGTTCCCCTCGCACATATGTGCTAGTCGTTCCCGACTCTAGGGGGTGGTGCTCATCTCCGTTTCAAAGCCAAAGAGCCAACGCTGTCTGAAGACATCTCCGTGGTCTTGTGGCCGACATGACTAAATGACAAAGGCTCACGGAATGCTGTTACCTTTCAACCAAAGGTGGTCCCTATTTTTCTACTTGCATTTTTTACATGCTTTCGAAGTGCTAGGTTGGCACAAGCTGGGACAAATAACTGGAGCTCACCCCATTACACGGCACTAGGGATTCGAACCACTGAACTGCCGACCTTTCAATTGACAAGCTCAGCATCTTAGCCCCTGAGCCATCGCATCCCTGCCCAGTAGTAGAATTGACCCTATATATTGCATATTAACTTGGAGTCTGCAAACATTGAAATGGAACCCCTGAAATTATTACCAACATCCTGGCATATTTACTTTCCAGCAAGAATTCACTTGCTTTTCAGAGTCCAACTAACATGATCAGGCATAAAAAAAAAAAATCAGGACATTCTCACCCAATCCATTCAAAGTCCCAACGCTGTCAATCATCCAGTGACTGATGGTGTGATTGGCCAGGGAGTCAAACATGCTGCTGAGAGCACTGGCACCAGCTGCTGTACCAATCAGATATTCAAGGATTAGGTTCCATCCAATAAAAAAAGCTACAAACTCCCCCACCGTCACATAGCTGTAGGTGTAGGCGGAGCCTGTTGTTTTGGGTACCCGAACTCCAAATTCAGCATAACAAACTCCTGAATGGAGACAAGAAATAGATGCAACCATCAATAATTAGAATGCAGACAGAAGAAAGCAAACAAAATTCAAATCCTATCAAATATCCTCTCATCAAAAATGTATAATTTGCAAAGCAATTAGATTTTGGGAAGCACGTGGCATTCTTAAATCAGGTTTTAAATTCTTGTAATGAAAAGGATGTGATACTCACACATAGGCTTGGTCACTTGTGACCTTCTCATCTGAATCTTAGTTACTTCAAATGTAAATTCTGCTATTTTGCTACCCTTTCAAGGAACTGGAATGCTCCAATAATGCAAGTGGGGTGGAGCAGCAGGATGAATTAAATTTTAAGGCATTGGGGAGTCTTATCTCACAAACATATTTTCTGCACATCATTGGCCTGCAGGTATGCCCCTGAATACAATTTTACATTTAAAAGAACATGGGGTAACAAATAGCCATTTCTCATACAAAATAATGCCATAAATGTCTAAAGCATTATGATTATTTATTTATTTATTTATTTATTTTTTATTAAATTTGTATACCACCCTTCTCCTGCTGGACTCAGCCAAAATAAAATATAAAATACAAAATTTGTATACCGCCCTTCTCCTGCTGCACAGCCAAAATAAAAAACATCCCAATACAAAATTTAAAATTTGTTAAAAGAATTACACAACTTTGGCCCAAAATTTAAAACATCCCAACTAAAACCCATAGACAATTAAAAATCTAACATCTCAAAAGGGGGGGGGGGTACACCAGCCCTGCTTGGTGGAAAAGAAAAGTTTTTAGGGCACGGCAAAAAGCCCGGAGATCTGGTATCATGTGTATCTCCGGGGGCAAATCGTTATCACGCTTTGGTATACGCATCTGGTATCATGCGTAACTCCGGGGGCAAATCGTTCCAGAGGGCAGGTGCTGCCACAGATAAGGCCCTCCCCCTGGGGGTCGCCAGCCACCAGCCGACACTGCCTGGCTGACGGCACCCTGAGGAGTCCCACCTCTGTGGGAGCGTACTGGCCAGTGGGAGGCTATCGGCAGCAGAAGGCGGTCCCGCAAATACCTTATTATTATGCTAAATTATATATCTATTCTTCTGATAATACTCTCTACTGCCCCATTGCTCCCTAAATTAAGTTTTTGGGGAGTTTTTTTATCCAATAATAAGATGGAATTCTAGCTATTTTATTTCATCCATTTTTGCAACAAAGCCATTGAATGCGTTAAACGGTGCAGACGTTAATGGTTCCTTATGGTACAAGTTCGTATTGCCAAAGATCTGGGAGATCTTTCAATCTCTTTTTAAATGCACTCTCGGAAATAACAGCTTTCAAAGGGATATTTGAGACTTTTATTGCTATCAATGATGTTCAGGGACAAGGGAGTTTGAACAAGAACACAGAAGCAAAACAAAAAACCCCACCAATTTGCACCACCCCTCACCCACAGCTGACCCTTCAAACCCTGGCTTGCATATAAAGTAATATTCAAAGCTGATTAAAAATGCATGCAGTCGACAAATGCAAGAGAGGAACAGTGTCTGAAAGATTTATGAAACAGATGCCACGGGTGTTCAATTCCAGGCTTGGACTTGCTATGACTCAAAATGAAGTTGGCTACTAATTTTTGCCTGGGGGGGAAATAAGGTTTAATGAAAGATGAGCCTTTTCTGGGTTATATAATCTAAAAAGGATTAGATCTGGTTGGTGCTCTGATGGAAGACTATAAGAAAAATCGTAGAACTGTAGGTTAAAGCTGGGAGGTTGGGAAAAAAGAAGAAAGAAACCCATGGGAGTAGGGTTATCAACTCCTTCTGCAATGTTGCTGAGAAAATTGTCCAGATGACGCAGTTTCTAAAATTGAGCGCTCGTTAAGAAGAAACTAAAGAGCTGGTTATAGTTTTGGTATGAAACATTTGCATAGACTCTTTAGAAAGAGTGCAGAGAAGAGCAACAAAGATGATTAGAGGACTGGAGGCTAAAACATATGAAGAACGGTTGCAGCAACTGGGTATGTCTAGTTTAATGAAAAGGACTAGGGGAGACATGATAGCAGTGTTCCAATATCTCAGGGGCTGCCACAAAGAAGAGGGAATCAAGCTATTCTCCAAAGCACCTGAGGGTAGGACAAGAAGCAATGGGTGGAAACTAATCAAGGAGAGAAGCAACTTAGAACTAAGGAGAAATTTCCTGACAGTTAGAACAATTAATCAGTGGAACAACTTGCCTCCAGAAGTTGTGAATGCTCCAGCACTGGAAGTTTTAAAGAAGATGTTGGATAACCATTTGTCTGAAGTGATGTAGGGTTTCCTGCCTAAGCAGGGGGTTGGACTAGAAGACCTCCAAGGTCCCTTCCAACTCTGTTATTCTACAAGTAGTCCTCAACTTATGACCACAATTGAATCCAAAATGTCAGTTGCTAAGACAGTTGCTAAGTGAGTTTCATGTAGGAGATGACCAGGCTGAGCCCAAGGGATGGGTCAAATGTATCATCAGCCATGAGTCCCTTCACCTACACAAGAGGTTCCATCCACTGTGAATTCCTTATCTACCACCAAATTGCTTTGATGGTTAGTAGTTCAGATTCTTATAAAGAGCTTAAGCTCTTAAGCAATAAATCTTTATAACCATTTTGAACTGCCCGGATCTCCTGATTTTCCTGGCGCATTTTACCTCATTTTATGACCTTTCTTGCTAGAATTGTTAAATGAATTGCTGCAGTTGTTAAGTTAGTAACTTGGCTGTTAAGTGAATCTGGCTTCAACATTGACTTTGCTCATCAGAAGGTCTCAAAGGGTGATCACAAGACCCAAAGACATTGAAACGGTCATAAATACAGTACATGCCAAGTTGCCAAGTGTCTGAAATTTGATCATGTGACCATAAGGATCCTGCAACTGTCATAAGTGTGAAAAAATGGTCATAAGTCACTTATTTCAGCACTGTTGTAACTCTGAACGATCTCTAAATGAATGGTTGTAAGTCGAGGACTACCTACAACTTTCTCTCCCTCCAAAGCTTGTTCCAAGAAATGGGCTCCAGGAGAAAATCCATGCCTGTTCAATCCTTTTGGAAAGGCAACCTGAAAGGGAAAGCTGCAAAGACCTCTCAGAGAACTCAACAATTACTCAAAGTCCATAGGTTGCACGAATAACGAATAAGTAGTTAAAGTAATTTACCATATAAATAGAAATAAAGAGATCAAATAATTGTATTCCATTTAAAAGAATCAGACCCAACAAATATTTTAGTAAATATTTGGCATCTGGAAGATGTTGACCATTTTAGACTAATTTTGTGCATGTCCAATTAAAGGTGTTGACATCATCATCATCTTCGTCCTTATTATTACCATTGCTAACAATGCACATGGGCCATAGAAGTGGAAAGACACTGAGAGGCTTCTGGTGAAAAATTCAAGCCAACGGAAATAACAGAACAGAAACATTTTCCTCTCCATCACAGAAAGATGCCAGGAGGCTGCCCCAGAAAAGTTGCTTTTGAGCAGAGATCTAAAATTAGTAAGAGAGATGACATCATGCGAATCTAGTGACAATGAAAAAAAAAATTAAAGCAGATTTCCACTGGATGTTAATTTAAAAATTGAATCGTGAGTCCATTAGAAGTAGGCAGGAACAAGACAGATCTGGAGTCATTGCTGTGTTCAGGGTAAAAAGAAGAGAAGGAGAAAACAAGGCAGTCCTTCTTAATGTCCTTTTTCCATATCTTCATTCACCTACATTGGCCAGGGTCACAAATCCTTCCAGCCGGTAGCCATCAGCCATAAATGCCATTTAACTAATAGCAATCAACTTCTAAAAAGAGGTCTGAAAAACTGTACTGAAATAAAAGGGGGAAAGAGAAAAATCTGCATTGTAGTATTCAATCTGGGTCGGACTTGTACTGGAGTCCATCCTCAGGGAATTTCTCTCTAGCAATGTGCTTTGGGCTACTCTCTGTGTGGTATTTATATGGGGCCTGTCTGTGTGTGGATTTTTAGTAGTTGATTGGGGTGTTTACGGCAGATCCTGAAGATGAAACTCAAATACTTTGGCCACCTAATGAGAAGGAAGGACTCACTGGAGAAGAGCCTAATGCTGGGAAAGATTGAGGACAAAAGAAGAAGGGGACGGCAGAGAATGAGGTGGCTGGATGGAGTCACTGAAGCAGTTGGCCTGAGCTTAAATGGACTCCAGAGGATGGTAGAGGACAGGAAGGCCTGGAGGAACATTGTCCATTGGGTCACGATGGGTTGGACAGGACTTTGCAACTAACAACAACAATAAAATTGGCTGTCGTTTCCTTGTGCTGCCAAGCCTTCTCCTCCTAAGTACTTGATAAGCAGTCAGCACTCCTGTTGACTGACGAGTAGCCCAGAGGTGGGATTCACTTACCTTCCCTACCGGTTTGCAAAAATGAGCGTGCCTTCTGCGCATGGCAGCGCATGCGCTGTAGTCACACATTACGTCTGGGCAGGTGGGCGGAGCCTCCCGCAGTTGCCGCTACCGGTTCGCGCAATCTGGAGAGAACTGGCTGAATCCCACCACTGGAGTAGCCCCTTTCCCAGGCTTCAATCGCTTCCCGGGCTGTTTTTGTGCCTACTCATCCCACAATCTTAGTAGCTGCAACATTGAAATTATGTCCTTGTTCCTTGCAATGTGAGGCTACTCATGATTTTGGGTTTCTCCGTCTGACTGCTTTGCTTGTGTTCTTGCAGTCTGATGGTTACTCCCCATCTGTCCTACATAGTCACAGGGGCAATTCATGCAGGGGATCCGGTAGATTACATTGGAAGTATCTCCCACCTCCAAGTGATCTTTGCAAGGCGTAATTTACCATATAAAGAGGAGCTCAAATAATAGCCCAAAGTATACACTTTGCTAAAGAGAAGTTCCTTGAGGATAGGCTCCAGCACTAGTCCGAAAGCTCGGAAGACTAAACCTCTGGTCCTGGTAATCAATCCAGACTGGATTCTGCAACTTTATTCTGGGATAGGTTGCCTTCCTTTGTGAATAATTCTATTGTCTATTCCTAAAGAAG